TGCAAGCTCCCGCCTCCCGGGTTCGTGCCATTCTCCCTGCCTCAGCCTCCGAGTAGCTGGACTACAGGCCGCCAGCCACCACGGCCAGCTAATTTTTGTATTTTTTTAGTAGAGACGGGGTTTCACTGTGTTAGCCAGAATGGTCTCGATCTCCTGACCTCGTGATCCACCCGTCTCAGCCTCCCAAAGTTCTGGGATTACAGGCGTGAGCCACCGCGCCCGGCCTGTTGTTATTATTATTATCTAGCAGAATGCCCATTCCACAAAGGCAGGAATTTTTGTTTGTATTGCGCTTTGATGTATTCTTAACAATTAGAGCAATGTCTGTCAAGGAAGAAGTGCTCAACAAATATTTGTCAATTGTTGGATGAATTATTATTATTACTAAGACCTCTTGCAGCTCTTTTATGAAGTTATGAACCTGCATAAAAGGAACTTAGCAAAATGCCTTAAAGAAAGGGATGTTCTTTGTGTTGATACTGGACACCCTTGTCTTCTCTAAAGAGTACATTTACACTCCTTTTACCTAGATATGATTACTCTCAGAAACCAGTACCCAAGAACTGGTACTGGTACCTACAACACTTAGCTATTTCAGTCTTGTCTTCCTTACTAGACTATAACTTCTCAGAAGCCAGGGAATATTTTTTCTTTCCTTTTTTACTTTTGTATATCCTCATGCTACTTAGTGTGTACTACATTTTATATGTTGACTGAGCATGGTGGCTCACACCTGTAATCCCAGCACTTTGGGAGTCTGAGGTGGGTGGATCACGAGGTCAGAAGTTCGACACCAGCCTGGCCAATGTGGTGAAACCTTGTCTCTACTAAAAATACAAAAAAAAACCTTGTCTTTACTAAAAATACAAAAATTAGCCGGGCATGGTGGCAGGCACCTGTAATCCCAGATACTTGGGAGGCTGAGGCAGGAGAATCGCTTGAACCAGGGACACAGAGGTTGCAGTGAGCTGAGATCACACCATTGCACTCTAGCCTGGGTGACAGAGTAAGACTCCGTCTCAAAAAACAAACAAACAAACAAACAAACAAACAAAACCAACTAACTACATGTCAGGAACTGTTTCAAAAGCTTTGCCTACATGATCTAACTTCATCCTCACAATATCTCTGAGACATCAGTATTCTCATTATTCCCATAGGACAGAGGAAGAAACAGAGGAATACAGAGGTTAAGGAAGAGCTGTAAATAGTACAGTTGACATTCAAACATGGGTAATCTGACTCTAACACCTCGTACTCCTATAAAAAGTGGTAATAATTAAGAAAATAAGGCCGGAAGCGGTGACTCACGCCTGTAATTCCAACACTTTGGGAGGTCGAGGTGGGTGGATCACCTGAGGTCAGGAGTTCAATATCAGCCTGGCCAACATGGTAAAACCCTGTCTCTACTAAAAATACAAAAATTAGCCAGGCGTGGTGGTGGGCACCTGTAATCCCAGCTACTCAGGAGGCTGAGGCAGGAGAATCGCTTGAACCTGGGAGGCAGAGGTTGCGGTGAGCCAAGATTGTGCCACTGCACCCCAGCCTGGGCAGTAGAGTGAGGCTCTGTCTCAAAAAAATAAAATAACTTAAAGACCGAGATTAGTTTTTCTTCTACTTTGATCTTCTTCGACTCAAAAAATATTATCTCTTCTTTCCTAACCCTTTACAGTCATAATATGAGGAAGTAGGTTTCCCATTTTTCTGAACAAGAGTTTGAGATACTTGCATCACTCTCACAAAATCATATACTACTGGAAATCTATCTCTCTCTGTCTCTCTCTCTCTGAGACAAGGCCTGGATGAGTCTGTCACCCAGGCTGGAGTGCAATGGCACTATCTCCTCACTGCAACCTCGGCCTCCTGGGCTCAAGCGATCCTCCCACCTCAGCCTCCCAAGTAGCTGGCATGCGTCACCACATTCGGTTAATTTTTGTATTTTTTGTAGAAATGGGGTTTCATCATGTTGCCTAGACTGGTCTCTAACTCCTGGCCTCAAGCAATCCTCTCACCTTGGCCCCACGAAGTGCTGGAATTACAGGCGTGAGCCACCACACCCAGTAGAAAATGCCATCTCTTTAGCATTCTAAAAATCTCTTGGCTGGGGCGTGGTGGCTCACGCCTGTAATCCCAGCACTTTGGGAGGCCGAGGCAGGCAGATCACGAGGTCAGGAGATCGAGACCATCCTGGCTAACACGGTGAAACCCCGTCTTTACTAAAAAATACAAAAAACTAGCCGGGCCCGGTGGTGGGCACCTGTAGTCCCAGCTACTCCGAAGGCTGAGGCAGGAGAGTGGCGTGAATCTGGGAGGCAGAGTTTGCAGTGAGCCAAGATAGCGCACTGCACTCCAGCCTGGGCCACGGGCGAGACTCCATCTCAAAAAAAAAGTCTCTTAGGCCGGGTGCGCTGACTCACGCCTATAATCCCAGTACTTTGGGAGGCCGAGGTGGGCAGATCACTTGAAGTCAGGAGTTCAAGACCAGCCTGGCCAACGTGGTAAAACCCCACCTCTATAAAAATACAAAAATTGGCCAGGCGTGGTAGCACGTGCCTGTAATCCCAGTTACTCGGGCGGCTGAGGCAGGAGAATTGCTGGAACCTGGGAGGCGGACTTGCCGTGAGCAGACATCGCGCCACTGCACTCCAGCCTGGGCAACACAAGACTCCGTCTCAAAAAATAAAAAAGTCTTCATTCATCTGAAATGTGTCGGTGTTACCAGAGCGGGAACCTGCATTGAGAAAAATCAGGTTTTCTGGGAAAGACTTGGAGGAGGGAACTCAAGAAGGTATTCTCAAAACTGTGAGCTGGGAACCAAGACGGCGTGACTCAATTCAGCACCGTGGACAGAGCTGCCGAAGCCCTCAGGACCCTGGACAGAGAAGCAGGCCGCTCAATCCCGGGTAACCGAATTCGCATCACTTGAGAACCCACCAAGCGAAACTAGAGAGTTCAACTCCCCTTTCCCTCCCTTTTCTTCTCCCAGACCTCAGCCACCTGCTCCTGAGTCTTAGGAACAGAGGTACAGGGAGCGAATATATTTTAAGGGAGCCACTAACAGCGGGAGATAAGACTTTTGGGAGGGGAGGATTATGTAAATAAAAATGGCTCTGGCTGATGTACTAGGAGAACTCTTGAAAATTCTAATTAGAGTCCTCAGTTGGGAGTGGGGCACTGCTAACAATATTTGTTAACAATATGTATTTTTTTAGGCGGAGTAGCAAAGGGCCACAGTTGTCCTTTTTATCCCACGAAGTCCCACCTCCCATTCCTCATGCTCAAGTTTTCGTTTCTTGGAGAGCACCTCGTAGGAGATAATTTCTGCAGTCTCTTGCTTTCCTTCCCATCTTCCCCTTCCCTACCCCCACTCATCCGGTCTCTCTGAAATACACATGTGCCCATATCCGCACGTGCACACACACACACACACACACACACAGAGAGCCACAGCGTGAGAAGCCCAAAAGGTTCTGCACACTCGGTGGAGAAGATTGAATTCAGAGCAAGCGGATGCCCCCGAAAGCAGGCTCTGTCCCTTTAAATGGGTTGTAGTGGTGGGGGAAGGGAACTGGCCGGAGCTGGCATTGTCCAGTTTGAACTGAGCACCGGAAGTGAAGGGGCAGGGCCAGGGCCGTGCACTGAGCCCCGGGCCATTGTCCATCTCCGACCAGGGCAGTAGCCACCCCCACTAGCCAGCCCTCTTTATCTCCTAGAAGGGGAGGCTGCCTCTTCAAATGAGGAGGCCCCCCAGTCCAGTTCCTCCACTAACCCCACTATGGGGATGGGAGCGCATAAGGAGGGCCTGGGAATCTAAGAGTGTGAGGAGTACAGAGGAAGTACCTCTACCCACCAGCCCACCCAGTCCCTCTCTCAGCAGTGGATGGGGATGGGGTGGGGGTCGGACGAGAAGGCAGCTGGCGGAGAAACAGCTTCAAGACTCTTTGGGTTCCTCCTGCTCTTCAGGGAGCTTACCTGGGGCTAACTTTAGACACACAGGTTTGGAGGGAGGAAAGAGGGAAGAATTATTTACAACGAATCAATTAAGAGCACTTTCTCTTTTCTAACTGGGGGAGGCCCAGAAAAACTCTGTGTCAGAAACTCTGGGAGGCAGACATTCAGATGTAGTCAGAGGCAGACAGACTTTGGAAGGCAGCGCTTTGGTCAGGACAGACCAGCCCTGTGTGTCCCCAGCCTCTCCCCCCTGCTCCCCCATCCCGGGCTTCCTAGTGTCCAGAACTCCAGGTCTATCTAAGCACAAGGGGGTGGGGGGTGAGAGCGGGTCAGCGCCAAGCAGCCGGGTCAGCTCAGAGGCCTGAGGGGGAAGAGAGGGGGAGGGGCGCTCAAGAGCTGGGGGAGGGGGAGGGCCCATTCATTTCTCCCTTGACAGGTGGTTTGTGTTTCTGATTGGCCAGCGCTGCCAGGCTCACACCTCCCTCCCCCAACTCTCTGGAATGTATAATTATCTGCGCGGGGGGTGGGGGTGGTGTGTGTGTGTGTGTGTGTGTGTGTGTGTGTGTGTGTGTGAGCAGTCACGTGGTTTTAAAACTACCCCCCCACCAGGTCCCCCACCTGTATCTGCTTTGGGGACCCCTATTGAGTCCAAAATGCAGGATCCCAAATTCCGGGGTACTCAAGCCTTCTAGAGCAGACAGCCCCATCTCCAGATGTGTGTGTGGGGAGGGGGTGTCAAACCTCAAGGTTCTGAGAAGGGACACCCCAGAGGTGTCAGAGACCGGAGCAGTGGGGGAGGGCCGGAGCTGGAGCTGGAGGGAAAGGGAGGGGAAAGGAGAGGGAGGGGAGGGGAGGGGGCTGCCCGCGGGGGGTTGGGTCATTGTCTTTTAGAATTTGGGAGCCTTTGAAAAGCCGTGGGCCCTCCCACCGCTATTGTGCGGGGGAAGATGTAGCAGCCTCTTCTCCGAACCACCCCTTTGCCTTCGGACTTCTCCGGGGCCAGCAGCCGCCCGACCAGGGGCCCGGGGCCACGGGCTCAGCCGACGACCATGGGCTCCGTGTCCAACCAGCAGTTTGCAGGTTCGAGCTCGGGACTTAGCTGGGACACCTTAGGAGGCAGGGGCGGCCAGGAGCCACGTAGAAGGAAGGTGGAGAACTGACTCCAAGGCTGCCCAAAGGACCCCAAGACGGTGCGGCCTCCTTCTTCATAGGGCCGTCTCTGGAGCAAGGAACCTTGGTGTTCCAGTGGCGTGCGCGCCAGACTACGTGGGTGGATGGAGGGGAGAGGTTTGTCTCGCCATGAGTCTCCGGGAAACGCATTGTGGGAAGAGGAGCAAAACTTTCGGGGCACCACTGTCCCGGTGTACGCTAGGGGAGCGCGGGAGGCGACCGGGATAGGTTTCTTCTGTTCCTTGGTAGCTGCCCCCTCCTGACTGTCCACTTACGGGGTTGGACACTCGGGTCTCCCTGCCTGGAGCCCGAGACCGCCTTCCGATTCCTTGCCCCCCAGCTGAGTGCCTGGCCCTCCCTCTCTCTAGGTGGCTGCGCCAAGGCGGCAGAAGAGGCACCCGAGGAGGCGCCGGAGGACGCGGCCCGGGCGGCGGACGAGCCTCAGCTGCTGCACGGTGCGGGCATCTGTAAGTGGTTCAACGTGCGCATGGGGTTCGGCTTCCTGTCCATGACCGCCCGCGCCGGGGTCGCGCTCGACCCCCCAGTGGACGTCTTTGTGCACCAGGTGAGACTGATTCCGATAACTTTGTCCAGGGAAGGGCGTCTAGGCGCACGTATCCACGGGTGGGCTCCGGGTTCGCTGTTGAATTGAGGGCCTTCGGGAGCCCTCATTATGCGTCCCTGTCTTTGCTTCGGCACCCCAATTCTGAGTCCCTGTTAACTATCTCGGGGGGAGTAGTTGGAGGCAGCACCAATTATCAGCACCCCCGCCCCCTTCCGGGAACCCCTCCGGCTCACCACGTGTCTATTACCTCTTTCCCCTGGGAAGGGGTAGGGGGCAGGGAGGTGACCCCATGTGGCAGAAACTAAGGTTGTATTGTGCTTGCCGGTGGGGGGAGGGCGAGCAGGCCGGCCAGGGAAGCACATGCCGGGCCTGAGCCGGGCGCCCAGCGCCTCCAACGTCTGAATGGAGCTCAGAAGGCGGGAGAGAGTGAGGGCAACTGGCTACTGGACCCAAGGGGCATAAAGCCGAGAAGTCAGCCACATCCCCTTTTTAATGCAGACCTCACCTGACTGGTCACTAAAAACTGGGTTTGGCCGATCCCTGAAGGATCCACATGGGAGCTTGTAAGCTCAGGACTGGGGTCTTTGCTGTCCACTTCCCGTGAAGAAGGAAAACCCAAGGAGCCCTGGCCTTCCTTACATTCCTGGGCCAGGCTGGGAGGGAAGTGGATAGGTCGCAACCCCAAGTTCTCAGTTAAAGCAGGGCAGCACAGTAGGGGGTGAAATTCAGTGTCGCAGGGCAGGGGGTGGAGGGAGGCTGGCCTCTGGACCTATTCTCCGCTTGGCATTTATGGCCCCAGACAGCCATTGATTACTGTCTCAACTTTCCTGGCCTCAAACAAGAAGCCAGAGACTTCAGGTCTCCCTCCTCCCAGGCTTCCCCTTCCTGAATGTCCTAGAGGCATTCTGGTGGTCCTGGGCCACCAGCTACCCATAAAGACCATGGAAAGGAAGTTGCTTGCTGCCTGTGGCCCTTCCATCTTTGGAGGTTTGTGGCTGGATCTGGAAAGAAGAAATTGCTAATCCCAGATCGTGTAGGTTGACACCCAGGCCGGGCAGGGAGGGGTTACTTAAGGGAGGTTGGCTTTAGGAGGTGTGGGGGAGGGGAAAGGAGGATGTGGGGATTAAGGGTTGGAGCCTGAGGGATGGCATTCTTGGGGGGAGGGGTGGGGAAGGGAGATGCTGGATGGACTAGTTGGAGGCAGCAGGGACATCTTTGAGCACAGCCTTCAGTGAGGAACAAACCAGGGGAATAGATGCAGAGAGATGGGGAGCCACTACTTAGTGTTGGGGCCATGGGGTCCGTGGGCTACTTGAACATCTGCCAAGAGGACCTGTAGCAGGATACTGAGCTGACCCCTTGCAGCATCCTGATCCCCCCAACCCCCCATTAGACAGCTAGTTTCCCACTGGTGGCTTTTCTCCCTTCTCTGTCTCATTTACATATGTGAATGATAACCCACAGGAAGTAATTGTGGGAGAAAGAAGGGAATTGGCCTCTTTAGATCTATTAAATCACTTTATTACAGGAACCAGCTTTGAATGGCCCTCCTCAGCAGGGTAGCAAGCCTCCCCCACTCTCCCATTTATCTGATCACAAAGAGATTAAAATCTTTCCTGGTCTGGGGACTGGACAGCTCCCCCAACTTTGGGAGGCTGGAATAAAAGAGTCAGACCCAACGTTTCCTCATCTCCCATCCAAAGGCTGCCAGATAGGGAGGGGCTGAGGGGAACGTATCCCCTCATCTTTTGGGTTCCTTGGTGATATACATACCCCAAGGAAGGTGTTTTTTTGTTTTGTTTTGTTTTTTGAGCAAATGGGGACTTGGGCCTAGCACGCTTCACCTCAGGATCTAGAGCAATTGGGAAACTATTGGATGGCATAGAGCATGCATTGAGTCTACACTACTGGGTCAGATGTACTGGCTTGGAAATACTGTGGATTTCAGGCTCTTGGAACATCCAGGAACCCACAGTTGAGTAAGTTGTCAAGAGGGAGCTGAGCTGGAAGAGAACTAAGAATTTGTCTCTCTAATCCCCAGCTCTTCCCATTCTACTCAGAAAGCACAAAGATGGGTGGAGATTTCCCTGAACTTTTACCTGGTAGCTCTGATAATGGTAGCATGCCGGCAGGGCTTGGGTCAGGGGTCCTCCAACTCCACCTTAGCGGTAAGTTAGATTAGTGGTTCCGGTCTTTGCACTTGTTTTTTGTTTTTTGGTTTTTGGCTTTTTTGAGATGGAGTTTGGCTCTTGTTGCCCAGGCTGGAGTGCAATGGCATGCTCTCTGCTCACAGCAACCTCCACCTCCCAGGTCAAGCGATTCTCCTGCCTCAGCCTCCCGAGTAGCTGGGATTACAGGCATGTGCCACTATGCCCGGCTAATTTTTTGTATTTTTAGTAGAGTCGGGGTTTCTGCATGTTGGTCAGGCTGGTCTTGAACTCCCGACCTCAGGTGATCTGCCCGCCTCGGCCTCCAAAAATGCTGGGATTACAGGCGTGAGCCACCGCGCCTGGCCCTTCTGCACTTGTGGTTAGAAATGACTCTCTGGAAATGTAATGGTAAAGGAATTTAGTAAACACAGGATAAATTGTTTACTGGGGGAGGAAAGGGTTCCCGAAGCAGAGAGTAAGAAATCTTTAACAAAACTTCCCATTCTTTGGCTGCTGGGGTTGGGCACCCTGGGGTTAGGGTGGGCTGGTGGGAAGGTAATTGTCCTAAGATAGCATCTACCAGAGGGAGGGGGTCAGGAAGCCCTTTTGCAAGTAAAGAAGAAGGGGGAAAGGCAATTTAAAAGCATTTTCTTTTCCCTTCCAAAGTTGGGGTTATTAGGATCCCAACGCCCTATTAACTAATGTTCTTATGCTCTCTCCCAAATGCTGTAATATCCCCTTCAAGAGTAGATAAGTAGGGGAAAAAGCCCACCCCCTAGCCAAAAACTAAACAAAACAACAACAAAACACAAAGCAAAGAGATTTCTATAACAACTCTTCAGGTACACATCTTTAGATTTAGAAATCTGCCTGTCTCTAGAGTTAGGGAAATAGATAGCAAGCCCTTAAATGAGTTTCTCGACTTCAGCACTATTGACATGTTTTGAGCAGGATAATTTGTTCTGGGGAGTCTGTCCTATGCATTACAGGATGTACCGCAGTGTTGCTGGTCTCTACCCGCTAGAGGCCAGTTGCATCTCGGTGTGACAATCAAAAACATCTCCATACATTTTCAAATGTCCCCTTGGAGTCAAAGTCTCATCCCTGCTTGAGAAACATAGTTATACAGGAAAGCTGGAGCAAGAAGCTAAACTGTCAACTATTTCCCTGAGATTCATCAAGAATTCAAAAATCCTCATTTTGGGCCATTTTAAGAGTTTTGGTGTAACTCATGTTTCCTGTGGTTCAATTTGCAAACTCTCAAGATTTATAAAAATTTGGAAATAAGGAAAACTCCCTGCTTTCCCATAGTTCCTCAGGACCCAGATATGTTTAAATCTCAAATATGTTTAAATTGACTTTCTGGCTAAAATGCTGTATTAGAAGACTAGGAGTCAAAAGAAAAGCCCAGATTTGACCAAGGGACCAAGTTGGTTTAGGAGAAAAAGTTTTTAATACCTAGACGAACTGCTGAAATTGCCCTGAAGCCATGTGGCCTGCTTTTTCTGGAAGCCGTGAGTGAGGAGGTGGTAAGAGCAATCTTATTCAGGGTCTAGGTTAGGACTGCTGGGTTTGGTGGCAGGGTTGTGGGGGTGGGTGGGGAAATATACGAGATCTTTCCTCCTGGTTTGTAACACTACACCTCTGATTGCTCACCTCGTGTCTAGTTATTGATGTACTGCTCTTATATCCTTCTCTATGTAACCCATAGGCTCTTTGAAGGGAGAAACTTAGCTGCCTGGTTAATTTTCTAGTATGCACTCGGTGGGCTGAAGAATGAATAAGAAAAGGGGCATCTTGAGGACCTTGGTGAATCAGAAGTACACTTAGCAGTCTGGGGTCCATGTCGACAGAGATCTTTCGCTTTCTGGGCTGGCTATATGTCCTGGGCACAACATAGAATATGGCCTGGGCACAACATAGCACTATGAAAGTTTGTGGAATGAATGTCAGTAGATCACAACTCTGAGCCCAGAGATGTTCCTCTCTTTTTTGTTGATAGAGTGGAAGCCACAGATTTAGTGGCCATCCATGAGTTATTTCTGTCCTAATAAGAAAAGGCAGCTTAAAAATAAATTAACTTGATTTTTCAGAAAATTGGTAGAGAGGTAGGAAGGTTCCTGAACACATGGTGGAATCTTCTGGGGTCCTCTTCTTTCTGAGACATGCTTCTAGACAATGTCTTTTATTTTTATTTTTATTTTTTGAGATTGAGTCTTGCTCTGTCACCCAGGCTGGAGTGCAGTGGCACGAACTCGGCTCACTGCAACTTCCGACTTTTGGGTTCAAGCAGTTCTCCTGCCTCAGCCTCCCAAGTAGCTGGGATTACAGACGTACACCACCATGCCCAGCTAATTTTAGTGTTTTTAGTAGAGATGGGGTTTCACCATGTTGTCCAGGCTGGTCTCAAACTGGAGTGATCCACCTGCCTGGGACTTGCAAAGTGCTGGGTGGCATGAGCCACCGTGCCCGGTGACAGTGTAAAGTAAAGGCTGTGACACCATCCTGAACAAAGCTTCAAATATGGGAAGTTTCTACCCTGTGGTTGTTGACACTGCTGCCTGCCTTACAAGTGGTTTTCAGTAACATTCACCATGGCCATTTAGTGTCTTTAACATTGCTAATCACATTCTACTGGAATTATTGTTTTTGGAGTAACTGCCCTAGGTAAAACTACATCTCCTCTCTTCCTGCAGGCATGAGTATCAACCACTGGCCACAGAGTCAGAGTGGGAGGTCAAAGGAGTTGGGGGAGAATACACAGTTGATAGAGACTTATTTAACATGATCTCAGCATGGAGGTTTTTTTGTTGTTGTTTTGTTTTGTTTTGTTTTTGAGACGGAATCTCT